TCTCTCTCTCTCTCTCTCTCTCTCTCTCTCTCTCTCTCTCTCTCTCTCTCTCTCTCTCTGTGTGTGTGTGTGTGGTCTGCCTAAGTGAAGAAGTTTTAAGTATCTGGGTGTTTTGTTCACAAGTGATGGTAGGATGGGGCAGGAGATGCAAGGATAGTTCATAGTCAGTAATGAGGGCGTTCCTTTGATCAGTCGTGGTGAAGAAGGAGCTGAGTTGAAATGCAAAGCTCTGGATTTACTGGTCTGTTTCCATTCCAACCCTCACCTATGGTCATGAAGCATGGATTATGACTGAAAGAACAAGATCCTGGGTACAAGCGGCTGAAATAAATTTCATTCATAGAGTGGCCAGACTCTGGGTGGAGCTCGGAATAGAGCCGCTGCTCCTCCACATTGAAATAAGTCAGCTGAGGTGGTTTGGGCATCTGACCGGGATGCCTCCTGGACATCTCCCTCTAGAGGTGTTCCAGGCACGTCCCACTGATTGGAGGCTGTGGGGAAGACCCAAGACTCTCTGGAGGGATTATGTATCCTCTCTGGCCTGGGAACACCTCTGGGTCCTCCAGGACAAGATGGAAATTCTCGCTGGGGAGAGGAAGGTCTGGGTTTCTGTCTTGGACCAGTTGCCTCCGCGACCCAACTATGGATAAGCAGCAGACAATGGAGATGGAGGCTTGTGAAAAATTTACCTGATGGTATGTACATGAACATGCAGACATAGACAAAAACATTATCACCCTCCTTTGAGCAGCGGGTGATATTTCGAGGATTAAAAGCAAATAAAGCTCCTGTCTTTACAATACTTTTCTACACACCCAAACATTCCAATGAGAGAAACATGGAAGTGTTGTGTGGGAGCAGGGGGCCTCCTGATATAAGATGATGAGCTCTGATTAGAAAATCAGTGGAGAGTAAGGAGTTTTACCTTTCACCTTAGTATGTCACTGCACATATGCGGCCTTGAACTTCCTTGCTGACGAAGCATAAAATAATTAGCCAGTTCTCCCTGCTCAAACATTTCTGTATTTGTGTCTTGGTGTGCATTCTTTCTGATTACAGGGCTTTTTGCCTTAGTGTATTTATGTTATTATATGGATGTTTCCCCTGTGTTTTTCCCTTAAAATATTCTTAAATGAGCATGTAGCAGAAAAATCAGACAAAACATTAAAGTAATGATATAACACATTTAGTAGAGTGCAATATGTCCATGTGTTCATAAAAAATGGGAAAATAGGAAAAAAACTGCTTTTTTTAATGTGGACTGGGACTCAGGTATACTAGATGAAAGCAGTCTGCGATATCCTTTACTCCAGGGATGGGTAATCCTGGTCCCGGAGGGCCACTATCCTCCATGTTTTACTTATTTCTCTGTTCCAACACACCTGATTTGAATTAACGGGTGATTAACAGGCTACTGCAGAACTTGAGACAATTCATTTATTGAGTCAGGTATGTCGGAGCAGAAAGTAAAACATGAAGGATAGCAACACTTGAGGACCAGGATTACCCATCCCTGCACTAGTCATATTGGTACATTATGGTTGCTCCACCTTTTTCAAATTTTAGTCTGGCTCCCATGCCTAGGCTTGATACTGTGTTGTTTTTGAAAATCACAAGTTTGTATCCCCCACTTAAAAAAAAACTAAAAATGCATTGTAGTGTAGTTGCTCCCTTTGCTTTATTGATAAGCCATCTATACAAAAGAATGCAGCAGAGATGTGTCATTATAAAAAAATATCATTCCATAAAACAATTTGAAACAAGTAGTTAATACAAAAATCACAAGATTTGTGCCTTTTTGTGAATATTGTAGTAACACCTAGCATTAGTTGCTAGTAAACAATTCGTGGGTGTCTCTTTTTCATCTACACCTTGTTAGTGTGTTTTGCACTGAGGGCAGGACTTGCCTTCTGGTAAACCACAACAAGAATAATCAGTGTTTTAACATCTAAACTGATAGATAATATTTTATTCATTCTGAAAGACCAGTTCACAGTTTGATTGAGTAATATAAAACACATACATAAGTAAACATGCATTGAAGTACATAGTAGCCTGCATTTTTTTATTGCTGTTTGAAGGTCCCTTTTGTTCTTTGTCACTTGTTTTATGTGCAAGCTCATATTTGTGTACATGCATGTGCAACTTGTCCACTGACTATGTGCAAGAAATGGTCAATGTTTATTTAATAATGCCTATAAATCACTTCTCTTGAGTGGATTTTTTTTAAATACAAAACCTAGATAAAATATGCACGGTATTTCTCCACTTTCAGCTGCAGTGATTTGGTTCTCTTTAAGAACTGGATAATTTTGACAGACGTGTGAAAAAAACCTCCCAATTTAAAGGAATCATATCATGCTTTTAAATCCTTCTTTTTCACGACTAAATCATTCACATATGGTCTATTTAAAATAAAACTGCAACACTTTGGTCTTAATTCCTCGTTTTTGTTGCTCCACAGACTCCTTGCTTTCCTTGCTTTACCCCTGTTCTGAGTTGCGCCTCAGAGCAAGCTGTTTTGGTGCGGTCTCTTTAAATACAAATGAGATATTTCACACCCCGCCCCCACCAGGTCGCAAGTAGTGAAGACACGTGCATCAGGAAGTGGTGTGGAGATGCTGGCCTTGTCTGGGACAACTGGAGATGAATCCACAGCGCAGTCTGGAAAACATCAACAACATTAAAATGTACAGTCTTTGCATAGTAGAAACAGTAAAGTGTCACTTATTTTTTGTAATTTTTGTTTAACTTTGTGAGGAAAAGTTTCTCATTCAACACTTTCACACATCACATGCCCTTGTGACACGACTTTGAATAAGGGAGATATGATTAAAGTATGGATGATTTTGATTTATTGAAATCAAGTTGGCATACTAAAAGTGACTAATGTGGTCATGACAACTTGGGAAACAATGATCTACATGGGCTCTCCAAATGAAGTAGTTGCCTGCAGACATGCATTTTCATTGAAATGCATTGCAGCCAGGTACAGTCTGGTTAAAATGGCATAAAATAATATTACATGTTAGTTTGAAGTTGCACCATTAAAATTCATCTGACACAGTATTTTGAATAACGAAAAAAACACAAATACAGAGTGACTAAAACAACACTGCAGCCGATATTTTTTGGCCGATTTTTGAAGCCGATAACACTTTTTCTTCCTCCCTCCATTAACATGATAAAAATAAGAATGATAACAAATGTTACACAAGTCTTAATTTAAAACAAAACAAACGAAAAAAAATACATTTATTAACTAAGCCTTATCTGAAGAGGCTGTATAAAGTGTTGCCACATGATTTCTTCTTTCAGCCCTTTCTAAAAAAAATAAAAAAAATTCATTACTTATTTTATCTAGTGCTAAATATTCTGTTTTTATTTGTATATTAATAAGATTAATATATTTTGTTACATAAAATGACTATGTTCCCAGCTTTTTTGATGCAAAAACAGCAACACAGAGAAAAAAAGGAGACACACATCCATCATTCTATCCTTAAGATTACTTCACACATACAGCGCTCACAGCTTCTCTGCCTCAATCTGCTGCTCCCGTTTTTAACACCAGGCAAAAAATGCATTTAAAACAGCTGACGTTAACTTTAGATCACAGTTTGAAACGCTCCAGTATTTTTAAAAAGAAAAACAACACTGACATGCTGATTACAGTGCGGGGCGAAAGTGAAAGTAAAACATGGTGCTGAGCACCCGTTCGGTAAAGAAACTTAAACACAGCTGTTCTTTGTCCCCTCATATTCCGACACAGAGGGTAGAAACAGCTAAATTAGACAGTTAAAACACATTTACAGTTCATAACTCACCCTTGTTGTTGTAACATTCATCCTGTGTTGTCCGCAAGCACTTTCCGCCCTGTTGTGGGTCCATTTCCTTGTAAAATAAAACTTAACCAGGCACTTTGGAGAAGCTCTGACCCTGGTAGTCTATGTAGATAATAATGTGGGTTTACTCACCCCAGAGCCGAACATTTTTACTTCTGAACTTGCATATTCGGCATGACGCTATGAATTACAAAATCACACAGCGAGGACAAAAATGGCGGACAATGAAATCCAGTTGGCCGGAAATACATAACCATAAATGATATTTCTGAAGAAAAAAGTGTGACAAAATAAACAATGAAACAAAATAAGCAACAGCAGATTTTGAACAAACTGAAAAATTTGACCCATAAAAAATATAAAAATATCTTTGCAGTAACTGGACAGAATAAATTAAAGTTTTCTACACTCCCAGACATTATAATTGCACAAAAATAGTTTATATGTGCAAAAAAAGTGCATTTAGCATGATATGTCTCCTTTAAAGAAGCACAGAACTGTGAACTAACAAATAAATTGAGTTCATATAGAATTAAAAAATCTGTCAAAATTTTGTGTATGATTCTGACATTTCCCTACATAACTGAGGCAGGACATGGGCTTAACTTCTTCCCTTATCTTTTGGTTCTGTCCTATTTTTCAGCTTCTCAAGAACATTAACACACACAGGACAGAAGCTGACCTTTGACAGCCTTACTTAGAGCTGCACAACATGTCGTTTGAGCATCGTCATTGATGCGTGTGATCAATGTGTTATCTAGGGACTAAATTAAACTAAAAGCAGCATTTCCTCCAGTGTATTATAGACCTTCCAGCCGCCAGTCCTTAGTTATATAAACCTTTAATTTAACAGGAAAGTCAGTTGAGAACCAATTCTCATTTACAATGATGACCTGGTTAGGCCTGTGCACCAACCTAGTGTTGTGACAACAGTATTAATGGCTAGGACATAGCATTAGCAACTTAGCACTTCACTATCTAGAGCAGTGGTGCCCAACCTTTTTTGAACCAAGAGCTACTTTTGAAGTCAGCAGGTTGCCGAGAGCTTCCAGGACCGGTTTCACTTGATCAGACCTGTTCCTTTTATTGCCTGGAATAGATCCATCAGGTGGGTTTCTGAATTTTATGCATTATTGCAGAAATATTGCCCACCAGTGGTTCAGGGGGCAGGCTGTTATAAAACCTGGTGCTGAGGTTCCAGGACCGGTTTCACCTGACCAAATCTGTTCCTTTTTTTGCCTGGAACAGATCCATCGGGTGGGTTTCTGAATTGTATGCATTATTGCAGAAATATCACCCGCCAGGTGTTTCTGGCTAAATCCAGGTGGGAGAGCGGGTGCTAGACGTAGGACCATGGTTCCACCTCACTGGATCTCTTCCTTTTATTCCTCTGCATCAGCACAAGCAGCCCCGTGCTGGAAATCAGCTGTTTCACCAGCCGGAGCTCGCCCAACGACCTTTGATTACTTATATCTCCATGTGGGAACGTCCCAGGAACTTGCAACCTCCACGTTGTAGCGGAGATCCAGAAATTTAAAATGAGCCATATGCTGCCCGGATCCGATGCTCAGAGCCGGCGCTAGAGGCTCTGGAGTAAATTGAGTACAATATCTCCCACCAAAGCGCCCTTTTCGGCCGGTTGTTGGTTAATAGCTCTGCGGGAGAATGTCCCAGGAACTTGCAACCACCTAGAGTTTGTAGAGGAGGACCGTAGCTTTCCAAAGTCATCTCACTTTCCCAGATTCGATGGTAAGAGCCCGGGGGCGAAGCAAACGAAGGTTGAAATTTCCTCCCAAAAATGCACGTAAAATGCACTTAGTCGTGGGTAATTTGCTTATAACTTCATGGGGCAACATCACAGATACTCCATTCAAGTATCAGCTTGTAAGACAGAACCAGAACATTAAAACCCGACCAGCCACTCCAGGATCCGATGCTCCTAGCCTGGGGAGGGGGGCTAAAACCACCCCCGGCGGAGGTCCGATGGTGCATAATTTTGGAGGTTTTTTGCTTATATCTCCGCGGGGGAACATCGCAGGGACTTCATTCAATTTTCACCTTGTAGGGCAGAGCTTTCAAAAAAGACCAGCCACTCTGGGATGCAATGCTCAAAGCTGGCGCTAGAATCTCCGCAGCAAGATTGTGCTGCGCGGGCACCTGGGAATCAGCTGGTGGGCGACGAGTCGCCCACGAGCGACTGGTTGGGCACCCCTGGTCTAGAACCATCATGTTACGGCCTAGGGCCCTGAGCTGAAGGGGGTCTCCCTGAATGTTATGACTGCTGTCGTATTTTGTTTTGAGTGTGTGTCTGTTGCAATAATTATGAATGCAAATAGGTTTCCAGGTGCTGTCTGTAATTGGAGGATTGAGACCAGGAACTGAATGAGGATTGGCTAACAATTGATGAGGAAACTGCAGAAAGATTAGCTGAGAGGTGATGACATCGAGAGCTTCCCCATTCTCTGTGCCATCCAACCTCCCTGCTGACTCATGCCACACGTCAGCCTTTAGAGTTTGTTTATACTTAAACTAAAAGTAGTTATGTGAGGAGTTTGTAGGGGTGAGCTGCCATTTATTTTGAATATATTTTTCTCCTGTTTTTTAATTTTTTTATTTTGGGGTAATTAGGAAGGTAAGATCCTGTATTTTGTTTCAATTTAATTTTGAGGTAAGAGGTAAAAACTTAGATTTGTTTTGTTTGTTATTTTGGCCTTTGGCTCACCCTGAAGTGAAGACACTTCAGTTTTGTACATACACAAGCACTGTAAATAAAAAAACACACTTTTTGTCTTTTCATCAAACAGATTTCCAGTGGCTTCCTTTTTTTAATTTGTTGAATGGTGCAGAGGTTGGGAATTTTTCCACCATTTTTTATGTCCTGGTTGCTCCTATAGATGGGGCATAACACCGAGGATGGTCCTGACGTCAAACACAACAACTACTATATGTGATACACTGAGTGCATTAAAATGACTGCTGTACTTGCACTACCCACTCCTATGAAAGGAGCCCTGTGACAATAACACAGACTGTAGCAGCTTCATTTGGCCCGTTTACTGAACTTTGCCACAACAAAGACTGTGTGGTAGGTGACCAAATTTACACAATAAAATAATATTATAAATCTATAAGCTATCACAAATACATAATCAAACTATTTAAAAGTAGGAAGTGGTTCTGTTATTGTGTTTCCTGTGTTTTTGTGATCGCTGTTTTTAATGCTGATTTTTCTGTCTGTTGTTGCTCCAGCCCTGCCCACTTTCACCCAATCCTCATATCCCTCCCCAGGCTTTAAACTGGTAAAACTTATTCAACTCTCTAGTGTTTTTTTTCTCCTTTTTTTCTGTGTATTTCCTCTCCACTGGGACGAAAGAGCCGGGTGCACTTTTGCTCCATCAGGGGGAGAGAGGCTTCAGTCCATAGCCAGAAAATGTGTAAGATCTTAATTCCATTAAGTACATGCTCTCAATCCTTGGGAAGGAAACAAAAACCCACAGATTTGGACAAACTTCCATCATTGATTATGCAACAATGAGCTGCCATTAGTCAGGATTTGGCCCAAGAGTTGATCGACAGCATGCCACATTGAATTGCAGAGCTCTTTACAAAAAAGGGCAAACACTGCAAATATTGACTTTTAGCATAAACCTAATGTTACTGTCAATACAAACTAGTAGAACTTAAGAAATGATTGCAATTAAAGTTCAGTAGACCACAGAAACGTCTGCAAAAAAAGATCTTAAAACACTTGGCAAAAATTTTAACATCTCAAACCTTTCAGTCAGATGCTATCCGAAGTGATAAGCAGTAACAGAAGTTGAATATTTGGAATAAACTATTCAAAATAATGAGTTATAACACAAATTTTATAAATGAAATGCCAAATCAAACAGTAACTTCCCCCAACATTTTTAATTTTATGCTGTCATCATGATCAAAGGCTGCACACTTGTTTCTCTGTGTCAAAGACATATTTGAAATTCTTCACGAGTAAGCACATACATTTACTTTTTTTTTTCTTTTTTCATTTATAATCTCAGCCGCAGGTGCAACAAAGAGAATTCAAGTGTTTGATATGTTGGTGCATCCGCGAACAAACACACACATATACACACACACAAACTAGGTCACTTCGACAAAATATTCTGACAACTCTTCATCTCCCCACCACAGCTCACTCGTGTAAACAAAAACACACAACTTCACACAGGTCACAGCAGGCAGTGTGGTAAATTTGTTTGTCAGAAATGTCCGTAGGGCACGCAACTTCTTAAACACTTTCCGTCTGTTTTGTCACTTTTGTACTAAATGATGACAATCCTTTTTTATTTTTTTGTTCTTTCAGAGCTGCAGACATGAGGCATCAAGATGATGACAGAAACGTCCAGACCTGCTAACTCACATCAGAGGAGGACCAGACTATCTGAAGTGCCAAAATCAGAGGTGCGATAAATAAACTTGAAGGCTCTTTGAAGGTCGATGAGCCGACCTCTGCCAAGATAAATACATTTAATGGATAAGTGGAAGTTTGTGTGTGTGTGTGTGTGTGTGTGGTGTGTGTGTGTGTGTGTGTGTGTGT